GTATAGTGGGAAAGCAAGGGTCCCCCTTTAGCACATACCTCGCACACTGAAGCCAGCCTTAAGAGAATCTCATACCAAATACCGTTTTAATTTTTCTAGCAAAAAGAAAACACTTTTGATATTCTCATACCAAATAAAGGAATAAACAAATTTTTTTTTTGTCCTTCACCGGTAAGACTTCCCTCTCAGTAGGTGTAACGCCTCAACTCCTATAAGGTTCGTTATGCAGAATCTCTGACATAATCAGATCTTATACTCGTTATTCATACGTATTGTTCATTCTGGACATTTAGCGGTCATTTCAATCTAACACTTCATTCCTTATAACGTTCTTAAGTCAAGTATTAGTACCAATTGACCTTGAGAACCACTACGTACTTAGAGGGTACTATACGTATAAGTAATAAGTATAAAATCTGACTATGTTGGAAATCCCGTTAAGTGGACCCCATGAGGGGTTGAGACATTACAATGTGCCAACCTCTTATTCATTTGCTAGTTTCTTTGCTTGACTCGTGGGGCATATCGTAACAGTTTTACAAATTACATGTGTTGTGATGGTAAATTTTAAAAATTAAAAGCTTAGAGGGTAAGTTGTTAAAATTCTACAAATTTAGAGATAAAAGTGCAAAATATCCTATTTAAAAACCTTAAGATTCCTAGTTTTATCCGTAATTAGTAACCAGATCAAATCCTCTTAGCTAGCCTTTTTAGGCGTAACAACCAAGCAGTCGCAAGAAAGTAAGAAAATATAAAAAAGTATGCATAAAAAGTATGTGCGTGTGTGTGTGTGTGTGTGTGTGTGTGTGTGTATATATATATAGGTAATGGAAAATGGAATAGACAGAAATATCCTTGCGTGGTTCATGATAATGGCCGGGTGCAATAAATCTTCAATGATAGTGATTCCTATTACTGTAAATTTGTCCAAAATCATGAACAACCCCATCCGACAGGAAAAAGCAGGACAATTAATCCCGTACGAAATAACTGACTTTCCACTTATAGTAGCAACACAAGTCCTAGATCTTTCCCGAAACAAACATCATGAGATTTTCAAATTTTTTTATATAAAAAAATTATTATAAGTACCTGCATACGCCAAAGCAGGTCACTGATGGGCTTAACCTGATGGCGATTGTTACTTTGACAGAACATATATAGCATTTTTTGGAAATTGATTTTGATGAGGATCATGTGATTTTCACACGCGATCATGTGATTTTTGTTCTTTAGCAGTATTGGTTATATTAAAATGGATAAAGGACTTGTTTAAGGGTTTATTGCATTTATACATCCTGAACTTATTTGTATCTAGCAACATGGAGCCTGAACTTTTCATATTGACAAATAGAATTCTGAATTTTGAAACCTATTGCAATTATTGTGCACTATAGCAAAACGCAAGAATAAGCGCTTTCAATAACTATACTTTTAGCTACATCACGATGTTCTCACTAAGAGATACATGTGGGGCCGTTCACTTCGTAGATTACATGTAATAATTACAGTGACAATGTTGTCTCTTAAAGAGTTCGTCTCTTTATAACTCGATTGAAACCTATCAGTGAAGACAATTATCATCATTGATCAGTCTTGATATATGCAACCACAACATCTGTCCTTGATAAAAGTGATGAATGGTGATAAACCACGATTCTTCGTCAACTAATTTAATTTTATGGGAAAAAATTGTAAAACAAAATTTAGAGAATAATCCATCAAAAAAATTGAAGAATCAAAATGTAACAATCCTTATGATCAAGGAACTAATAGCGTGAGATAAGAAACTCACTTCATTGGCTGCTGTCTGTGTTTATGTCAAAAATTGTAAGATGTTTTCTATCATCGTGCTCATTATGATTAGTTTTGTATTGTTTTCTACGTATAATGAATATTGACTTCATTGATACCAATAACGGCTGTTTTAGTTTTGTATTTTTTCTTCATATTTTTAGGCAATTAATTAGACTCAGGAAGTGTTTGGTTGGTATATTCGTGTCATGATTCGAATTATGATTCGTGATTCGTTACCGTATTTTCTCACACAAAAAAACACATAAATTAAAAATAATTCTAAATTATAATTTTAAATCTATGAACTAAACATCCACTAAGTGGCCATTCTATCACCCAACACAAAATTTTTTTATCTTTTTTTTTTTTTAATTTAGGAAGATTACCGGCTTTTATATCTTTTTTCTTTTTAGTTTTCTTCTCTCTCCACTTCTCTCTCGGTCTCAATCAACACCATCTTTTACAGACATCTCTCTGGCAACATCTCTATCTTTCCCCCTCTCTCAGCTCACTCTCAATTCTCAATCTCTCTCTTCGTCACCACAACGAAAGGGGGAGGTTGCAACAACATAGCCTCTTTTTATAGTTCATGGTCTATCATTGATTGACCACGGTCACTAATGAATCATAATTTATCACTGATTGAGTTTCGTCTATTATTGATTAACTATAGTAATCTATCATAGATTGGTCACAATCTATCAGTATTTGATGAAAATACTATTTTGTCTATTAAGATTTTTAAGTTTATTAAAACGATCGTTAACCTAATTTTCAAAAAGTTGGGCGATCCACTCGTTATAAATTGATCATTTATCTCTGTATTTTTTTTTTCTTGGAGGACAAACTCCTGTATGTATAGTTACAATATATATATATATATATATATATAAACCTCAACAAATTGACAAGTTATTTTTTGAACTTTTAATTTTTCAAATTAAATGTAGTACTAAGTGAATGACGTGCTTCAATATCATTGATTACAGTCTTTTTTGTTCGGACAAGCTCAAATAATAATACTTGAAATTGTGGTTAAAAGGAATCAAATCTCTCGTCTTCTTGCGAATTATTGAAATGCATGATCTGGAAAATATTAAAAAAAAAAAAAAAAAAAAAGAGGGAATCGCAATCTTATCCACCACATAATTATTGAACTGTCAGCTGCACAGGATTCCACACGTCCGCAAGAGGTCAAGGGAATGTAGTCAAAAAGATAATCACTCATTAAATCATCATACCACCGAGATTAGTATAGTGGGAAGCAAGGGTCCCACTTTAGCACACACCTCGCACACTGAAGCCAGCCTTATGAGAATCTCATACCAAACACCGTTTTAATATTTCTAGCAAAAAGAAAACACTTTTGATATTCTCATACCTAATAAGGGAATAAACAAATATCTTTTTTTTTTCTTTTTTTTGGTCCTTTACTAAGTATAACGCCTCAACTTATACGGTTTATTATACGGAACTTTTGATATAGTCGAGTTTTATATTTATTATTCATACGTATTGTCTATTATAAACACTTAGCATTTACTTCAATCTAAAACATCCCTTCTTATAAAATTCTTAAATCAAGTATTGATAACAATTGATCTTAAAAGTCATTAAGTGTCTAGATGGTACAATACGTATAAGTAATAAGTATAAGACATGACTATATTGTGAATCCTGCTAAATGGACCCCATGAGGAGTTGAGGTATTACAGTAGGTCAGTTTCTAACTGTTAAATTTTATTAAAATCACATTAGATTAAAAAAATATACAAAATAGATATTTTATATAGATTTGACGACTATTGAATTTTATTTGGTAGCTTATTTTTCAGTTCCTACGAGAAAATTCTTTTTCTTTTTTTTTGGTACTCAAACAAAATGTTAAGAAACTTATAATCCTTTTTGAAGAATTTTATAACAGAGTATAAAAAAATCATTCACTTGAAACCGTCCAATCTTGCTTTTCTTAAAAGCAGAATATATATTATACCATGAAAGGAAAATACAAAATTAAGTATTTAGCTAGTTTTTTAATTATTAGATATTGATTAATCAATCATTTATTTATTAATTTATTTACTTACCGATTATTAATTTACCAATCATCAATTTGTAAAGTGAAAACTACAAACACTAGCTCTTTTTTATAACTTTCTATGAATAATATCTTTATTTTTTGTTATAGGAGTCTCTGAGATTAATATCCGCGGTTGAAATAACTTCTACTGACCAAATATTCTTATCAGTTTCTTAAGTCGTACACTTATCATTTCCTCTATTCTTCAAATGTACAATTTTATAAAACTTAGGATTTGATCTTTTGGAGTGTGATTTGAGTGTGGTTTTTTAGTTAAATTTGAGTTATAATTTGAGTTGAAGTTGTAACTTGCATAAAGTTGAGTAAAGTTGAATAAAGTTGGAACTTAAAAGAACATGAACTTGAATAAAGTTGTAACTTGAATTTAAACTTTTTTTGAGTTTTGTTGCAAAAGAACAACCCCTTAATTGTTTAAGATGGATCTGCAAAGTACGCACAACTTGTAAAGTAAATAATGACTTAAATTGATCCAAATTATATTATAATTTCACACCTAACTCTATCATAAGATGAAAAGTTCAAATTCTCTACCTAATATTCAAAAAAAAAAAAACATCAAACTTAATTTATTAATCAGGCCCATTCATTTCACTGATTCGAGTTTAGAATTTGAGTTTTGCTATAGTAAAAAGCTCTAAAAAACAGTCATATCTAATTTTTTTGTTACAGTAAAAAACTCACATAAAGTCACATCTCAACTCGAATCAGCGAACTAAACTGACTCTCAGTGTATCATTTTCTTAACTTACGTCAAATCATATTAGAAAAAAAAATCAGAATTTTAAATTTGATAAAGACGTGAACATTGCAAACTGTGCAGTACTAATCGAGTATTCTTTTTTATCTTCCAACGTCATTCTCTATTACTTGCATAAGGAAAAAAATCATTCTCTATTTTGTTTAGATGAAATGAAGATGCTTTTCATTCATCAGGAATGAATAGTACAATTAGAGAGAGAGAGAGAGAGAGAGAGAGAGAGAGAGAGAGAGAGAGAGGATAAGGCGAGGAAGGTCGTGGATCTATAAAATACAATATAGTTTGGTAAGCAAAGCTACACCAATTATCACATAACTCTCCCTTCTAACTCTTTTTTCCCTTTGGGAATAAAGTTATAATGAACTCAATATTTCAACTTCCCTTCCTTCCTAATTTCTTCAAGCAAAAACAGTATGAGATAAATCTACTCACATTATTCCCATTCCTTTTCACTTTTCTCATCTTCATTTTAATGATACTGAAAATAACAAGGAAGAGATCAATAGTTTCTCATGACCCCACCAAAACTACTACTCCAAATTTACCACCCGGACCTTGGAAACTACCCATCATAGGAAACCTTCACCTCTTGATCATAGGATCTGATCTTCCCCACCACCGCTTGAGAAACTTAGCCGGGAAATACGGACCGTTGATGCACTTGAAACTCGGAGAGGTTTCCCACATTGTCGCCTCTTCACCGGAGGCTGCGAAAGAGGCGATGAGAACCCATGATATCAACTTTGCTCAAAGGTCCCTAGGCCTTCCGGAAGCCGACGTGTATGCCTCTTTGGGCATTACCTTTTGCCCTCATGGGGACTATTGGAGACAACTTCGGAGAGTTTGCACGCAAGAACTTTTGAGCCCTAAGCGCGTAAAGTCCTTCCAATCCATTAGAGAAGAAGAAGTGTCCAATCTCATTGGATATCTTAGATCAAACCAAGGGTCTCTTGTCAACCTGAGTGAGAAAATCTTTGCCTTGACATATTCAATAACATCCAGGGCGGCATTTGGGAAGAAATGCAAAGAGCAAGAAGCCTTCACTGAGGCTACAAAGGAAGGTCTTAAGATCTCCGCGGGTTTCAATGTTTCTCATGTGTTTCCGTCCCAGAATTGGCTTCGCCGGATCACCGGATTAGGGCCTAAAGTTGAGAAGAATTTGAAGAAAACGGATGAGATACTTCAAAGCATAGTGGATGCTTATAAAGCACGCAAGGCAACAAGGACGGATAGTGCTGACAGTAATGATGCAGCCGAGATCACTTTGCTAGACGTTCTTTTCAGTCTTGAGGAAAAGGGTGATAAGGACTTCTCTTTGGAGACCGCAAACATAAAAGTCATTATCATGGTTAGTATATGGCCTTCCTATTGCAAGATCTTTGAACTTTGGGACTTTAATATAAATCTTTTTCATTGCACTTTCACATATACTTAATTATAATTTGTCACTTGATGTCAAACATAAATAATATAGGTCATATTTGGAGTTGGTTTTGTTTTTATTTTTCACGTTTTTCGAAAAAAAAAATGAAAATAGAAGAGAAACAGTGTTTGGTACAATTAAAGATAAAAAATAGAAATGAAAACGATTTTTTAGTTTAGTGTAAAATAGAAGAAAAATGAAAAATCACTTTTAGTCGTTTTTTCATTTTTTTTGTTTATGTTTTCTCCTCTCCCAAGCACAGAGAGAGAGAAAGAAACATTAATGATTTTTTATATACTGAAAATAATCTCTTAATAAAATTACCAAACGCATTTTCAAAAATAAATTCTGTCTGAGATTGAAAACATTTTCATTTCTATTTTCATATAAAAATAAAATCATTTTAAAACGAGTTTCAAACGCACATATAGCTTTTTCATAAAGGCATTAATTACTTTTTTTTTCCCTCAAAAGCTGTAAAACTAATTACTTCCATTTGATGGATCATGGTCCTAATCTAGTTAGGATGTCTCTGCTTTCTCTTGACCCAACTAATTGTAATAACATTTTCAGGACATTTTCATGGCCGGGGGCGAGACGTCATCCTCAGTCATAGAGTGGGCAATGCTAGAGATGCTGAAGAACCCGAAACTAATGGAGAAGGCACAAGCAGAGACGAGGCGAGTCTTCGGAAGAAAAGGAAATGTCGAAGAGACAAACGATCTCAACGAGCTAGAATTCTTAGACTTGGTCATCAAAGAAACCCTACGATTGCACCCTCCGGTCGTGTTAATTCCAAGAGAATCGAAAGAAAGTTGCGTCATCAATGGATACCAAATACCCGAGAAAACCAAGTTCATCATCAATACGTGGGCAATAGGGAGAGATCCCAAGCACTGGAGTGAACCAGAGAAATTCAAACCAGAAAGGTTTCTCGAGAGTTCGATTGATTTCAAAGGCGGTGATTTTCATTTCATTCCATTTGGCGGAGGAAGGAGGATGTGTCCCGGAATCTGGTTTGCATTGGCAGATGTTAAGCTTCCTCTTGCTCAATTGTTGTTTCATTTTGATTGGAAACTACCTGATGGGATCAGCCACGAGAATTTGGATATGAGTGAGAGTTTTGGTCTGACTGTGAGAAGAAGAGGAGATCTTTTCTTGATTCCAATTCCCTGTCATGTTAATCAATGAAAAAAAGGGCCCGCTCTACTTTTAAACAAAATAGGCAATTTCCAAAGACCCCAAATAACTAATAAGACTCCATATTGGTTGTATCTATATGTTATTATTCTTCTGCATTAAGGGTGAGTTTATTTTGCATCAAAGGAAAAGGAAAATAGAAAGAGATGAGTGATTTCCTTTCTTATTTTATAATGTGTTTAGTAATACAGCTTTAGTGGTCTCTACACAACATAGAGAATGAGAAAATAGAATGTCAATCCTTGCATATCTCTTTGTATTGATTTCTTGTCGAAGCAAATGAATGCCGAATTTACATATCTACTTTTAATGAATTACTATGTACTCAATGATGAATTTAATTGTGCAAAAAGGGATTAAATTGGTAATATCGTATTCTTACTTTTAGTAAACTTTAGAAAGCGAATGAGATTGTATTTCATTTACACCATCTAACAGTCAACACTTGAAAGGGCTGTTTTAAAAAAGCATACTTGAAATAGGTTTTTTTTTCCTTTATACAACACGGAATTAAACCCGCAACCTCTCTCTCAAGCCTCATCTCACCCGAACCCTTTGATGTCGCTAGACTACACAGTCTTAGGCAAAATAAAATTTTTTTTTTTTCAGATAAACAAAAACTTTATTTAAAAAATATATACAAACAAAGTTTTCTTTAAAAAAAAAAACTAAGGATAATCTTGTTTTTTTTTATTTAATGGATAGCGAAAAACCTAATTATTTTTCTCTTACAAATAGATGCTCACTTTTACCTATTTTTACTTTTAAAAAATCTTATTTTATGTTTATATCATTATCTCTCTTTGCCTCTTACTACCACAAATAATATGATCATCGACACTCTTCAAGAATTTTTAAGAAAAAAAAGAAGAGAGAGAGAATGGTTTTTGTGAATGAATTAAAAAACAGTTGAAAGTCATTTTTACTTTTGTGTTTCTATTTTTTAGTACTTATCAACAATATTATATTATATTAATTAATAAACACGATTTCACTTTTTTATTATACTCAAAACAATCTCTTAAAAAACCAATCAAACGTAATTTCAGAATCAGTTCTAAAATAATTCTCAAAACAATCTCATTTTTACGTTTTATTGAAAACAAAATCATTTTAAAACCAATTCCAAACACACCTAAAGAGTTACGGTATAAGGATGTGAATAAATTTATGAACAAATAGCATTATTGCCTCTTGACTTATTTATTCTTTATATAGTAGAAGAATTTTTAATCTTGACAAAATGCATTTTAAATTTTAAAATCAATAATAATTAAAATTCATAATTAATAGTATTATTAAATTGACAATTTAAGACATGAGATTTGCACATGACATAATTTACCATACGACAAACTTTACCTTTTATATGTTAATTTCGTGTTTAAACTATCAATTCTATTAGACTTTAATCGTTACTGGCTTTAAATTTTAAATTTTAAGATGCAATTTGTCAAAATTTAAAGTTTGAAGATACTATAGAGGAATAGTTGGAGGTGCAACAGCATTAAGGATAAAGATAAACGTTTAAAAATAGACTGAAACAAATAAAGTGTGAGATACAAAGAGAAAAATAGCGGGAAACGACAACGAGCAGAATAAAAAAGGTCAATTATTTTAAATTTTTTACAAGAACAATATTCTGCTTAGAGAAAGACAAGAGAATGAAGATAGAAAAAAAAGCTCATCGTCGAGCTGGAGAGCAATAATAAATTTTTAAAATTTTTGTTATTGCTCACCAACTCGACAAGGAGATTTGATTCTCTTATCTCTTTTTATCTGTCTTGATGTTTTGTCTTTTTATAAGCAGTATTGTTTTCTGTAAAATGATTAGCTTTATTTGCATCATTCCCCACCCCTACAACCAATTTAAATAATTAAACCCCAACAACCAATTTAAATAATTAAACCCCCACAAACCAAAACACTTGTGTATTATATTATATACTTTTTGTTAGAGTGACCCAACACAAATATCTTTACCATTTATTTATTTATTTATCTTGGAAAATATTTTTCTTTGATTTTTAAATCTTTTAAATGGCATGATATATATGATACACTAAAAATTGAGACACCAATCAAGATATTAAAAATAAGATAAGTGATTCGAGTCGGTTTCTCATCTTCACAAATCATGTATATTAAAAATGAAAAAAAGACGTACATATATGTATTAGATGAACAACAATATAAGTAACTAGGCTTTCGAGAGATTTTGACGGGCGGTGAAGAGGACCGGCTATCACAATGACCTGAAAATTTTATTATTATCCCAAGTCAATTTTTTAATAGATAGAGTAGTCCCTCATATTTTAGCACTAGAAAATAACTCTAGGGTAGGATGTACATCTATATATATATATATATATATATATATAAACTAAATAATAGTATGCAAAATCACTTAACACACATTACAAATATTCTCTCTTTCCAACTCCCACTATTTTCTACAGAAAAAGTACCTATGAACCCTTTTAAGCTTCTTTTGCTTCCTCTCTTTGAGCAAAAACAAGATGGACAAGATCTTTTCCCAATCTTGGCATTGTTTTTCACTTTCCTCCTCTATATGTTGTTGATATTGAAAACAAGAAATAGATCATCAACATCTCAACCCACCAAATCATCGACACCGAGTTTACCCCCCGGCCCTTGGAGGCTACCAATCATAGGAAACCTTCACCATCTCATAGGTTCCGATCTCCCCCATCGTCGCTTGACAGACTTGGCCAAGAAATATGGACCCTTGATGCACCTTAAACTTGGTGAAGTTTCGCATATCGTTGTTTCTTCCCCGGCGGTCTCAAAAGAGATGTTCAAAATCCATGACTTAAACTTTTCTCAAAGGCCCCTTCTCCTTGGTGGAAGCAAGTATAATTCCTTAGACCTCGTCTTTTCTCCATATGGAGACTATTGGAGAGAGATAAGGAGAATTTGCACACAAGAACTTCTGAGTCCTAAACGCGTCCAGTCGTTTCGATCCACCAGAGAAGAAGAGGTATCAAATCTCATCGGTGATCTTCATTCGAACAAAGGGCTTGTCGTCAATCTTAGCAAGAAAATCTTTGCAACGTTATATTCCATCACGGCAAGGGCGGCTTTTGGCAAGAAATGCAAAGACCAAGAGGCGTTTACCGCGCTTGTCAAGGAAGGTCTAGAGATTGCCGGGGGTTTTAATGTTTGTAATGTGTTTCCTTCCCAAAACTGGCTTCGGTGGATCACTGGTATTGAGCACAAACTAGAGGAGAATTACAAGAAAATGGATGCAATACTTGAAAACATAATCAATGAACACAAAGTAGACAAGGCAACGAGGAGTAGAAGTAATGATGGAGCCGAGAGTTTGCTAGAAGTTCTTTTCAATATCCAGGAGAATGATGCGGCCACTGCCTTCTCATTGGAGACTAGACACATCAAAGCAATTATCTTGGTAAGACGATCTATCTATAAATATGCTTGAAAAAAAAAAGTTGCTAGTTACTATTAGAAAAATACTTTCAAAGGCGATATTTTTCATCTCTTACTAAAATATCAAACTTTGTGTTTGAGAACATATAGACAAAAACTAATTATATCACGTTAATGGAGTCCACATGTCAAACAATGAATGCAGAGAGTGACAAAAAAAATTTGTGTTTGAAAACTTATAGACAAAAACTTATATCATGTTAATAGAGTCCACATGTCAAATAGTGAATGCAGAGAATGATAAAAAGAATGATTGAAAGAGAGAGCTAACATTTCTACATTAATGTCTCTAAAGCAAAAGAATATAGTCTCAAAAATTTTAATTTTTTGGTGAAATTTTGGTTATTTCGAATAGTAAAATAGGGTACACGAGCTCTTTACACTTTTGCTCCTGAACTTTTCTATATTCTTACAATATCCACTGGCTCTTAATTTATGATCATTCCTCAAGTCTTGACTTTTTAAAACCTGAATACACAAAATCAATTTAGATGCAATATAAATTCATAAATTTTGAAACTATAAATTAAAAAAAATGCATTAAAACTCTACTACAAGCTTAGCTCATTTAGAAGGACAAAAGGGAAATACAAAATCAATTAGACAAGCGAGAAGGGAAATACAAAATCAATTAGACAAGCGAGAGAGAGAATTAAAAATACGTAGATTAAAATATCTATACTCATTGTAATTTTAGTCAAAATTTTGGTTTAACTCATCTCTCTTAAAAGTAAATTCTAGCTCTGTCACGGGGGAAGATGACGATAATAGTGTAATATGTTTATTTTATTTAAATAGTAATATAATTATGTTGACCATTCTCGTCCTAATAGCTTATACATTAAGGGCCCATTTAATTCGCTGATTTGAGTTGAGATGTGACTTTATGTGAGAGCTTTTTACTGTAAGAAAAGGGTTATTTGTGACTGTTTTTTAGAACTTTTTACTGTAAAACTCGAATCAGTGAAATAAACGGGGCTTAAAAGACATCAAAGTAGGCAGTTAAGTCTAGCTAGACTCCCACAATTGCAAGTTGCAACTGATAATTTATCAGTTGTTGAGCCTTATTTTGAATTTACAATTTCCTTTTGGCACTGCTCTTAAGTTGAATGTGCTTTCCCACATGCACCAAAAATATTTGCAATCTGAAAAGGATGAAAATATATAACTTTTTTCAGGACATATTTATTGCCGGAAGTGACTCATCATCTGCAGTGATAGAATGGGCAATGTTAGAGATGCTGAAGAACCCTAGAGTGATGGAGAAAGCGCAAAAAGAGGTGAGACAAGTGTTGGGAACAAAAGAAAACATGGACGAAACAAATCTGCACGAACTAGAATTCTTAAACTTGGTCATCAAGGAAACTCTAAGACTGCGCGCTCCCGGGCCTTTGATTCCAAGAGAATCTAAAGAAAGTTGCGTGATCAACGGATACCAAATCCCGGCAAAAGCAAAAGTCATCGTCAATGCATGGGCAATGGCGAGAGATCCCGAGTACTGGACTGAGCCGGAGAGATTCTACCCTGAAAGGTTTATTGAGAATTCGGTTGATTTCAAAGGGACGGATTTCGAGTTCATCCCATTTGGCGCCGGAAGGAGGATGTGTGCCGGCGTTTCATTCGGACTTGCAGATATTAGGTTGCCTCTCGCGCAATTATTGCTTCATTTTGACTGGAAACTGCCTGATGGGATCAACAGTGAGAATTTGGACATGAGTGAGAGTTTTGGTTTATCTGTGAGAAGAAAAGGGGATGTCTACTTGATTCCAATTCCTTACATTCATGTTCCTGTTGCATAATATAACATCACTTGACATGTAGAAACTGATGATTCAGTGCATGATGCATTCCTTATAATAAATGGTTTAGCAATTTCTTTTTTCTTCTTATTTTTTTCAGAAATACTACAAATATATATATATATATATATTATGTTGGACAATGCAAAACTAACCAAGGTGTTAAGACATTTGATCGCGTTTGAAACTCGTTTCAAAATGATTTTATTTTTTGTATGAAAATGAAAATAAAAACGTTTTTAATTTCATACATAAATCATTTTTGAAAATACGTTTGGTAGTTTTATCAAGAAATTATTTTCAGTATAAAACCCATTAATGTCTCTCTCTCTCTCTCTCTGCTCGGAAGAGGTGAAAACGAAAACAAAAAATAAAAAATAATTTTTCATTTCTCTCTCATTTTACACTAAACTAAAATATCGTTTTCATTTCTGTTTTTTATATTTATTACGACAAACGCCGTTTTGAAAACGTTTTCATTTTTTCTTTCTTGAAAAACATGAAAAATAAAAATGGGATCAATTATAAACACGGCCTTTATTCCTGTGATCGTGAGCTTGAACATAATTGAAGGAAAAGCATAATAGAGCTTTTTAACTTAAGAGTTCTGTTTACTCCTCAAACACAAGGGAACTGCATTGTTTAGAACTTAAACATTAGCAGGAAGTTGGGATGTGAAGTAAAGTCAATTCGACCTTAAAATTCCCAACTCTACCAAATTAAAATTCCCATTTTTCAATTCCAAGAAATAACAGAAATTTACCTTTGTCTGATCACACACAAAACTTCAAAAAAAGAAAAATGAAGAAAAGGGACCAACCACCTCTCAATAATACCCCGGGTCTTAGGGTTCGTCTGGTACGAAGATTTAAATTAAGGTGATTCTAATCATGATTTTGGAACCAAAACTATGATTCATGATTTTGGGTTCAAATCATGATTCTGAAACTATGATTCAGAATTATGAGTTTAAATCACCTTGAATATTCAAGAGAATGGTGGTTTCAGAATAATGAATGATTCTAGTTTAAAACACCACATCAGATTCGAATAATGATTCAGAATCATTCAAATCAAACACGGATTCTAAATCATGATTTAGAATCATATTCAAAATCATTATAAACAAACACTGATTCTGAATCAGAATCCAGATCATGATTTTAAATCCGTCTACCAAACGCCCCCTTAGTAATGCTGGGCAAAGCTCACTCATCCCTCAATAGAAAGCCTATCACGTATCAATCACGTGATTCATCACCCTCACCGTCGACCGTCCCCTCCATCGACGACGACGAGTCCAACTGGTGGCAGTTAACAACGTCCACATAATCCATATCTACCCACTTCATTGATGCCTTGCTTCCCTTCACAATGTGCTTTCAATGTCGCAGTGGTGCCATCAAGGCCACCTCCAGCATGGCGTGGCCCATGAAAAGCGATTTTCTCCCAAAATGAGGTCTTCAATATCATGAAAACAGGGGAAGTTTTTTTTTTATTTTTTTGAATTAAAGGGTACTTCAAAGACAAGGAGACAAATACCCATTTAAATAGTACATTTTGATGTTTAATCCACAAACATTGATCCAATAATTTTTATTAGTATAAATATATATATTAATTAAAAATGTACTAATTAAGAATAATGAGTAAAAATTTTAAACTCATACACTAAGAATTAGTTTTCAACAATTTTTTTGTACTTCAATGACACATTATCTAGATTCTGGATATTAAAAGACTATTTTAGTAAAACAACAGGTGAAAATAACTTGGATTGCATTTTAAGACGTCAGGAAATTAAAGGCGCTTGTTCTTTTGGAGTTTAACTTGAGTATAATTATTTTGTTGAATTTGAGTTGAATTTATAACTTGAGTTTGTGTTTGGTTGTGTACATTTGAATTATGGTTTGAGATAAGAATCTTTTTGAGTTTGTGTTTGAGTGAGTCAAAACTTGAATTTGTATTTAGATAGTATTTTAATAAAAACTCAATACTGATGGAAAATTTTAATAGGGTATATGTGTAGGGTTTTATTCGTCTTTTCGTTGTCAACGCATAGAAAAAAAATCATCTCAATCAGAATTAAAACGAAAAAGTTATAGCATTTTTAAGAATAGAAAAAAAAAACAATGTTCATTAATTTGAGTTTGAGTTTCTAAACTCGAGTTAAAGGGGAAATGAACTCGAGTTTTAATCTCAAACTCAAGTTTGAACTCGAGTTTTAGTCTCAAACTCGAGTTTGAACTCGAGTTCAAACTTAAAAGAATATAAACTCGAATAAAGTTGTAATTCGAGTTGCATTTTTTTGAGTTTTTCACTCAAAAGAACAAACCCTAATTTATTACAAACATTTACATGTTACATGACAGTAAAATAATTGGAGCCAAAATTGATACTTGAATTGCAATTTAAGGCTTTTGAAAATTACATAATAATAAAAGTCTAGATATTAGGAGACTAGCATGTGAGTTGCACACCTGTGGATACTTAACAGCACAATAAAAGGACCTACATGTGCTAAGAAAGTTGTTGGGCATATAGGGGTTGAGATACCAGCCGCGTTTGGTGTTGTTTTTATTTTTATTTTTTATATTTTTTAAAAAATAAAAAATAAAAAAAAGAGAAAATTAGTGTTTAACATAATTAAAGACAAAAAACAGAAATAAAAATAATTTTTTAATTTAATATAAAATGAGAGAGAAATAAAAAATACTTTTAGTCGTTTTTCATTTTTTATTTTAATTTTCTCCTCTCTCGAGCAAAGAGAGACATTAATGAATATTTTTATAAACAATCTCTTAATAAAATTATCAAACACATTTTTAAAAATAATTTCTGTCTGAAATTGAAAACGTTTTTATTTTCATTTTCATATAAAAAACAAAATCATTTTAAAACGAGTTCCAAATGCATCCTAAAATTTTTAAAATAAAAACACGAGCAGCAGAAGTTCAAAATTTAGGGACATGGTAATTGTGATATTGGAGTAATGCAAAACAACAGACACAGAGAACATTAAGTCCCAAGAAACGAGAAATATCTAGGGATGGTAATGGGACGGGGCGAGGATCGGCATGCTTTCCCCAAGACCATATCCTACTCTTGTTTTGTCCATCATACCCACCCAATTAAGGTAGGGATGGGGTTGGAGAAACACCACCTGTGGACTATCCTCGTAGCCTACCCATTAATGTTTAACAAAATACTTGCAACATTACAAAACCTCCAAGAAAATTCCATTAAACCAATTAAAAAAATTCATCAACGTAAAAACTGATATTAAATAAAAATAAATTAAATTCTTAATACTAAATTTAAGGACCCGTTTAGTTCACTGATTCGAATTTTTAATTCAAGTTGAGATGTGATTTTATGTGAGAGCTTTTTACTATAGCAAAAAAGTTAGAAGTAATTGTTTCTAAGAGCTTTTTACTATAACAAAAAAGTTAGAAGTAACTGTTTCTGAGAGTTTTAACTGTAGCAAAACTAGAATTTTAAACTCGAATCGGTAAAATGAACGGGGACTAAATTCTAACAAATAACGAATCAAAATCTCAAAGCTAAACCTAAACTCAAAAATACGTAAGCGGATACATAATCGAGGCGGCGGTGGGGACAAGGAAGCTTCCACTACCTAAATTCTAACAAACAACGAATCAAAATCTCAAAGCTAAACCTAAACTCAAAAAAACGTAAGCGGATACATAATCGAGGCGGCGGTGAGCACTAGGAAGCTTCCACTACCTAAATTCTAACAAACAACAAATCAAAATCTCAAAGCTAAACCTTAACTCAAAAATACGTAAGCGGATACATAATCGAGGCGGGTGGGGACAAGGAAGCTTCCACTCCCCCCGTCCCGCCTCTATAACCTAACCTTCAGAAATATGTACTTCTAGTAAGTGCTAAACTAATCTGCCTCAATTTTACTCTGGATGTGGGCAGACGTATAGCAAATTCGCAGGGAGGCAGTCTACCTCCGAACACATCAAGAGTGCTCACTAACTGCATGAACATCGGAACTCGTCTGAGTTCCACCAATAAATTCAAACATGGCCTATGAATCAAATCCATTATCTTCTCCACTCTTGACATATTACATAGAAAAAACTACGAAAGAGAAAGACGAGTTTCTTTTGCGGAAGATTCCAGCAATTATTAAAGGCCTACTACAACAGCCTTTATATAACTTTGGTCCATGAAAGGATACGAATATTTCATAGTAATAACAAAGCTTCGGCATCCACAAAACAATCCTTGCATACGAAGGGATAAAGCAATATCATATAGTACAGAAAAAGGGAAACAAGAGGGTTATCTCAAACTTCAATCACAACAGGGCACACTCTTTGAAGAAAAGGTTGCATGCTCAGCACAGCCAACATCAACTTCTGCAAGGATCATTTGTTTTAATGCTTAATATTGGAACCCAAAGAGTACTATGCTTGCATGGTTGAATCATCAGCACATACAGAATCAGGAATTTAGGAAAATAAATAATGCAAATTCTGTAACCAGTCGGGCATTCTTTAGCAACATATGTAAGTTATCTAAAACTCAATATACTTACTAGCTATTATGCTCAAAATATGTTGTAGACATCATGGTGTACAACTGTGCCTTCTATTACAAGGTATCAATATATATTTTCTGTCATACAGTAAGTTGGTGGCACTCTACTACATACATCTCATGAAAGAATAAGGAGCATAAAGCAGGTGAAATGGCTCATCGAGATAAGCAAATTTGGTATCAGCAAGGATTACTCTGAATATGTGCGTAAGTTTGACTATAACTTGAGGTTAATATTCACAAACTAAACGATTGATAATATTACCTCTAGCTGGCATGAAAGACGTATGTACAATTGGAAAGACGAGGTCAGCCCCTTCTACATTCGGATGCCAGAAGTCCAATCCCTTCAGTGATATTACTCATATGTTGAAGATGGTCCCATCCATTCTCTTGCCCTAATTGAAAGTCCTCATCTTGTGTCATTCCACCATCCACAGAACTAGAATTCGTCTCATCTGTGTCGTCTCCTAAAAAGAATTGTTCCCAGAAAGAATCATTAATTGCCGGGAGTTTATGAACTCCATCCGGTCCGATGTCCGCATCACAGGGACTAGAAAAAGAAGGATCAGTTTCAGTAACCATCTCCGCATCCAAAACCCCCGACATATCCATGCATTCTGCATTACTGGTCCCAGTGTTTACAAAGCTCTCACCAGGAAGTTCTTCAGTGCTTTGAGGCTGAGGTTCATGTGTCTGAACGAAGTCGGGCATAACCCTTTCTTCCTGAGAACTCTGTAACTTAGCTTCTGAGAACTGAGCAGCTTGAACATAATTGCTAACCACCCGAGGGGAAGACTGAATCTCAGAAATGGCTTTAGATGGAAAATTGGCAGGAAATCCAGACTCCCCTTGTGCAAAGGACTTGCCAGAATTTTGCGGAACCTCCGAAGGGATCACTTCAGAGAAACGACTATAGGCACTCTCGCTGTCTAATGCATTGGCAGAAGGAACATTGTCAATCAGGAAAGCATCAGGATTGTTTAACGATGCTTCCCGCCTGGGAGATGCATTCATCTTCAAAATCTGTCGGAACATTGCTTTTGCTGCCTCATTCATTGAAGGCTGGAACTTGACAATTTGTCCATCAGGAGCATTAATCCAATGCTCACTAGCCAAATTTTCTTCTTCTTGTCTTGGAAGTCTCCTTTTCTTATTGCCTCCAGAGATGTGCCTGCTACTTTCATTTTTCTGCTGTACAAACTGTGCTAAGAAGCCAGGTCTATGCATAGCCTTTGCGAGGAATGACATCATTTGCTGCTGCCGCTGCTCCATCACCTGAACCCGCTGCCCCACATTTTGCAATTGATGATCTGTACCTTGCTGTTGCTGCCTCAACCTAACAAGTTCCTGCATAAGAACATTCTTGTCCCGTTTAAGTCTATCAACCTCCTCCTCCAAACCAAAATTTCCAACTTCTACGCATGCCCCAACTTTCGAACTTGGAGCCTGTGCTTGTTGACCATTTTGTGTCTGAGTTGTTTTCCGCCTGTTTATAGTCTTCAAAAGGTGCTTTTGGCCTCTTAGAAACCCCTCATTCGCAAATTCCCATCGGTCTGGGTCAACCTTCTTAAAACCCTGAAATCAAAATGAGAGAATTTACCACCAGCTCCAAAAAAATAATAGACAGAAAAAGTGAACATCTTTGAATAACTACACAATATAGGTGTAAGCTTGATATTGTTTGCTTTTCCTCAATCCTGCCACCAGCACAGGAAAAATGATGATGATGATGATAATAATAATAAACCATCTCCAAACACGAATCAAACAGAGACTATTTTCTGCCAATTATTACCTTTGTTTCTGCGAGTAAAATCTCAACTGACTATAAATGCTAACAGTAACAAGCAACATGAAAAAGATAAGACAAATAGTGGTAGGGCATCTGTGCTGCCAAAAGAAATTTTTCGATGCCAACTATAAAGAAGACGTGTATGCGACTGAACACAATTCTTGTAATCATTCTTATCGAAAAAGTATAAGCATTAACTTAAAGGTTAAGACAGTAGTTTGAAGCATAACACTTAGGGGCTGTTCTTTTGCCGTTTTTGAGTTAGGTAACTTGAGTGTAGACTTTGAGTTGAGTTTGAGTTATAACTTGAGTTGAAGTTATAACTTAAGTTTGTGTTTGGTTGGTGTACATTTGAATTATGGTTTGAGATAAGAATCTTTTTGAGTTTATGTTTAAGTGAGTCAAAACTTGAATTTGTATTTAGATAGTATTTTAATAAAAACTCAATGCTGATGGAAAATTTTAATAGAGTATTTATTCGTCTTTTCGTTGTGAACGCATAGAAAAAAAAATCATCTCAATCAAATTAAAATGAAAAAGTTATAGCATTTTTAAGAATAGAAAAAATATTGTTCATTAATTTGAGTTCGAGTTTCTGAACTCGAGTTGAAGGGGAAACTTGAACTCGAGTTTTAGTCCCAAACTCGAGTTCAAACTCGAGTTCAGACTTAAAAGAACATGAACTTGAATGAAATTGTAACTCGAGTTGCTTTTTTTGAGTTTTTAACTCAAAAAAAAGGCTGCCGAACAGCCCCTTAAATTATGTCCATTAATCTAGAATTCAACCGTGTCGTACTTGAAGCACAATATTTTCGATACTTATATAAGACCATTTCAGGGCATGTCTTGTATAGAATTTTGTTCAATCATCAATGATATGTTCAATCAAATACTTTTGTCAATCATCAATGATATGTTCAATCAAATAATTTTGTCAGACTTTCAAAAAAAAAACTTGTCAGAAATCAGAATATTCGTTAGATAGTGCCCTGGAAGAAAAGGCCGGACATTCTGTCTCTTCTGTCTCATTATGAAAATCTTTACAAATAAGGCATATGTCAGTTTTAACCTAATTCCTCTAAATATTCAAACAAAAAAGAGATTATTGTTTCTTGCCTTACCCTCTAAAACAATATCAAGTACACCTCATGTGCACAACATCATTACAACTTTTAAAAGTTTGTTATCAATTCGACCATCAACATAAATTTATCTGAATAACTGCTATACCAGGACGCACTTCATATGCACATCCAACCTAAGAAACGGTATAGGAACATAAAGAAGCAGTAAGCAACATCTTAACGGAGTTCAGTTGACCATGGCTTTATAAAAAGGTCAAATCAAAGTTGTAGTTAAGTATACAACATGTTAATTGTTAAAACAACCTCAGGATAGTTTGTTTCACACATGTAAAGTAATTCTAGTCTCTTTTCAAGGGGAGGAAGGGGGAAGGGGGAGAAACTATTTGAAAATGCCATTTCAAATTCGGTTAAAAATTGCAATATATTAAAACAATCAAAAAAGTAATGTAAGGAAAGAAGATCCCCCAAATGAGTTCAAAGTAAAAGATGAAACAAGCAAAAAGAGGATCTCCCAAGTACATTAACCACAAGTTCAAATTCAGATACATGTGAAAAAACTTCTAACAACGCCAGATGCACCAACTTATATAAGTTCAAATTCGTTGGTAAAGTACAATCATATTCCCAAAGAGAAAGTGAAGAAGACCCAAGTACGCCTTCCTACAAGTTAAAGGTCAAAGATAAACGTGCAAACTATGATAATTGTCAAGAAAAATGGAAGAAGAAACCTCTCAAAACTCAAATTAAGACGAGAAGACCTCCAGATGTAATCATTCATATAAATTAGAAGTCACAGATAGAAGAACAAAAAAAATATTGAAACGTAGTCAACATTAAAGAAAATGGCCTTCCAATTGATAAGAGAAGGTACAAAAACAGTCAACAATAATGGAAAGATGAGGATCTTTCCAAAATTAAAGGTAAATCGCATAGAAACTGACTTCCAACCATAAGAGAACAACAGCATACTTGCTAGTAAATGCATCCTTTAAGGAAGGCACATTTGGCGTGAGTTTGTGATTGGTTCTCTTTCAAAATAGCTTCTATTGGTTTTCGTGTTGATCATAATTTAAAACCTACCAATTTCCAACTTCAGAAAAAAAATGCTTTAGAAACGCATTGGTACTTGAGAAATAAGTATTGGTCTTTGTGCCAATCACTTTTAGGGTATTTTACCAAATACAATTGTGGTTGGAACTTTGCGCCAGTCTAAACTCAATCCCAAACAAATCTATGATAGGACTCATTAATGATGGTCTTGGGAAGTTAGTTTGATAGTAGAAGTTGTTAGAGTGTAGTAATAGCTGTCAGCAGTTTGTTAGAGGAGTATTAGTACAGTTTGCTAGAGGGGTATGTGCGGGGGGGGGGGGGGGGGGGGGT